CAATTTACAATAGCAATAAAAATATATGGTACTTACAAAAAAATCCAGCAAAAGCTCTTAATATGTATAGAACATACAAATGCATGAAAACCAAAAGACATTGAAGACTTAAATAATAGGTATACCATGTTTATGGATGGGAAAACCCAATCTTACCAAGACATAATATAAAAAATAAATGATCTCTCAACTGATGTATAATTTATACAATTTTAATACAAAAAATGAGATACTTTGGGGAAATTTACAAGTTCATTCTAAAATGCATATGCAACAAGAGAAGACAAGAATAGCTAAGACAGTCCTAATCAAGAAGTACAAAGTTACAGGTCTTGCTCTACCAGATACTGACTTACAACACAAGGATAGTCTAATAGAACAATTGAACAAAATAGAGAAAATCTAGAAATAGACCCATAGCTAGGTGGAAATGTGATGGAAGGCAAAGGAAGCATGGCCAACCATGAGTAGATAATATCCTGTCATTACATGGCCCTAGGAGAGGGAGGAAGAATTGTGGTCGAGTGCCTGCCTCACACTATACATGAGAACACCACTGCAGATGGGTTGAAGACATTTTATAAAACGCGTAACTTTAAACAATGAAGAAACTTTAAGAAAGTATCCTCATGACTGCAGCATAGAGAAGATATTTTTTACATGAGACTTTTGTTTGGGTGTATTATTTTTCTGTGCATTTATCTGATCCCAATGCGAGTAGTTTATTTAAGAGTTGACGTAGGGCGCACTGGTGCGGGAGAAGGGGAACTGAGTCGAAGAGGAGAAGTCAGCCAGTACAAGGAGCATTGTCAAGAAAGTGACTGCGTGTGGATAACTGGGGTTAGGACAGTGACCGAGTGTGATCCAGGCACCAACGCTGACTCATGAACGCTTCTGGGCTGTGGCAAGATAATTGCAGAAGTAGAGGTTAAATTTTTTAAAAGGAGAAGCTTATGTCTTCTACGTTTTTAAATTTCATGCTTACTCTTTAATTTTACCTTCCTATTAATTCTTTGTGTGAGGGTGTGTATTTTATGGCAATATCAGTCCCTAGTGGGTTCAGAACAATAGAAATAATAACAGCAAGATGCACTGGGGTTTCAGTACTGAGATAGTTTAAGAAGGGTTCATAGGACATGTCTCCAAGTTAACCCAACTGAGTTGTGAGAACACTGGGATAGTCACCCACCAACTTCCTTTCTATCGTTGCTTGCAGGATGTTTGCAGGGCATTAAATCTCTGGCACTTCTTGCTTGCCCTGGGTGGAGACCAAGTTTGCTTCCTCAGCCTTTGGGAAGAGATCCAGGGTTTCCTAGTAAGCATTAGCCAGTGGGTGAGGCACCAACTGTATCCCCTCTAAGTCTGTCTTTTTTCCCCGCACATTTTTTTTTTTAGGTATAATTGATTCATAGAATTGTGTATATTTAAGACGTACAACATGATGATTAAATATATATATATACTGAAATAGTTACTCAATCTAGTTACGAAGTCTGTCTTTCTCTTCCTTCTCCCACACAAAAGAAAAAAGAAAAACTCCAGTGAACTGATCTCCATCCAAAGGTACCACCAGAATGGGAAAGGGAATACCCAAACAAAAAAAGATTTTTTTATAACATAGGTAGCCAATCAAAGGATTAGTAACAAGACCATAGTCTTGAAAAAGTCTTGATAGAGTGTCAATAGAGTATTTTCTCTCCTTTTCCCACCCTTCCACTCTTTCTAACATTTTGGCTTTTGGGGGATTGCCATTAATTAAGCCATGACCTCTCCCATCTTTGGAAGTGGCGCTACTTGGCTGCATAGCTCATCCCTGGCACGTCTCACTTGCTCCTCCCATTGACAGCTGAAATCATTTTCTTGTCTAGCACAGTCCCTTGCCCCCCACTCTCGTCTCCACCCACTGCAGGGTGGCTTGTGACACCAACATTCTTCCTAAATTACTCTTGCTTGGGTCCCGAGGAGTCCTGAAGATGCTAAATTCAATGGGAAAATATGAGGTCGCACCTTAGTTGACGATTAGCCACATCTGTCACTCTTAACTAGTGCCTTCCAGACCCTCCCGTGTCTGATGTGTGACATGTTGCTCACTTTCCTGGTTCCCCCAAACATGGCTTCGGTTCCTCAGTTTCCTTGCTCCCCTCCTAATTGTGCAGTTCTTGGTTTAGCCCTAGACCGGCTTGTTTGTTGTTGTTCCTCTCTGCACTCCTGATGCAATATCTCTTCTTGGCCCATGGTTTTCATTTCTAAGCATTGTTCTCAGTCCTGTGTATCCAACGCCGCTACTCAACATCGCCGCTTGGGTGTCCTACCCACACCTCAAAGGAAGTGTGGCACAAGCTTTCTTTCCAGAATGAACCCTCGTCTAAAGCTTCCTGTCGATGAGCAACACTCCAATCCACTCCAGCTGTAGAAATACAGCAGAGCTCTCTTCCTTGATACTCCCCCCATTTCTCTACCCTTATCCATCACCACCAAATCCCATTAGTTAGTGCCACAAAATCTCCTACACACTTTGCTTCTCTTCTGCATACCACCACCCTGGTCCCAGTTACCAGTCTTTGCCCTTGGATGGTTTTTCTCCTCCTGCTGTTCCCTCCCAAAGGTACCCACCGTGCTCAACACCCACCCTCCCCACCTTTGCCCCAGTGACTTCTGCGTATCCATTGACTAGAACTTATTTTCCACATATTATCCTGACTTGCGGGACTAGTTTTTCTCTGCTTGTTATGATTCTCCCAAAGTCCTGGTAACAACTTGAAAATTTTACTTAGGAGTATAATTATTTATTTAATGTCTGTCACCCTTTTCTGAATGCGAGCTTTATCAAGTGTTTGATTCTATCCTTCTTGGCCGCCAATGCTTCCCTAGTGACTACCACCATCCCTTGGTCATATGAAATAGTAAATATTTGTGGAAAGGATGAATAGAGAAGGAAAAGCAATAAGAGATCTGACTCCTTAGAAGCTTCTACATTCCTAAAAGACTTCAAAAAGCAAATGAAAAACTGACAAGAATATTGGTAACTTATGCAAAAAAAACCTTATGTTCTTAAAAACAGATTATAATGACAAGCTCATAAAACAATGATGAGCAAAAATGAAGAACCACACAGGGAAATGAGCTCAGGGTCTAGAGAGCATGTTCATAAGAGAATCGATGCAAATGGCCAATTAAACTGAGAAACAACTCTGCACGCTCCAGTGTTCTAAAAAATGATACACTCGTGACTTTTCTTTTTTAAATAGTCAGTGGTGGCAAGAGTTGGAAATAGGCATCTTCTTCTGTTGGGGATCACTGAATGGTAGCAAACTTTCTGGAAGGTGCTCTAGTAGCGTGTCAAAACCCATAAAAATAAAGTAGTTTGGCTCAATACATCAGTTTCCATGAAGTTATCGTAGGGACATCAGTACAGGTTCATGCAAATACTTATTCATAAGAATGCTTGTTATAGTGTTATTTGTAATTGTAAAAAAACAATTAAGCCAAATTTAATGACAATAATAAAGGAATGGTGACCGTAATGGGGCATGTCCTTCTCCAAGCAACCATTAAAATACAAGGCCCCGAAGAACATTTAAGGATTTTTTAAAAATCTGTGATTTGTTGAGCTGTCAGAGATCACAAGACAAAATGCGCAGTAGGGATTTCATTTGTAAAAATAAAAAAAATGTATACGCAGAGACATAAAGTTATCTTCAGTTATGAGGATTATGAATGATATTCTTTTCTTTTTAAAACTTTTTGCCTATTCTTAATATTCAACAAACTCTGCGTACTGTGTCCGTAATGAGGAAAACTAAATATATTCTAATTTAAGAACAGGGACCTGAGGGCACCGTGTGGCTGCGGCTGCACCCAGAAAGGCTTCCCACGATGCTTAAGGGTGTGTGTGTGTTCACGCTCAGAGAGGTGTTCCGCTCTCTCTGTACAACTTAAGAGCCATGTGACCATGAGCAAGTCATTGAGTTCTCTTCGCCTCTGTTCCCTTATCGACATGAGAGATGACACATACCGGGCAGAGCCGTTTCGTGGCTTAAATGACATAATGTATGTAAAAGTTTCATCCAAGAGTATGCACTTAGTCCTAGCACCTGCTTCCTAAAAGGCCAGAATATAAATAGACCCGGTAACGATTCACACCACTTCATGATTCTCTAGGGGGTCATAACTAGAAGTTTGGGGAATTGTTTATTCGGTGGTTCAGTATCTTCCACACTCTCCTAATGATGGTGGCAGCCAGCAGGAGGATGCTGGCAGGAAGACTGACCCATAATGCCAGCAGCCCAGGACAGATTTTGCTCATTAGGGCAAATTGCTGGCATAGGTCATTTATTTACCTATTTATCCAACCAGCAAATGGTTATTAAGCATCTATGGTGTTCCAGACATTGGAGGCTCAGCAGCGAGACAAACTTGCTGCCTTCTTGGAGCGAGGCAAGCTTCTTCTAATTGGATCGACACTGCAGGACACATGTTTCCTGTTGGATTCAAGTGAGGAAGCACTTCCCACAGCTGGAGGAAATGGGGCAGAGCTCAGGAAGTGAAGCTTACTTTGCATTCTGCAAATACCGTCCTAAGGCAAGGCTTTAGTTCCAGGAATCACACATGTGGCATGGCTGGGGGACCTACAGAGATCCTTCCTCCCTGCTCGGGCTTAGTTCAAGACCAGACTTGCTTAGTTTATAAGTGAGAAGTCATCAGCATTCCAGGAGAGGGGTGAACAAACTATGGCCGCCCATGGGTCAACTCCAGCCATGGCCTGTTTTTAGATATGAAGTTGTATTGACATATAGCCAAGCCCCCAATTTATGGGCTGTCTAAGGCTGTTTTGTGCTACAGGCACAAAGTAAAGTAGTTGCCATGAAGGCACCATTTGTGGCTCACAAATATTATTTGACCCTTTACAAGAAAATGTTGCCAACTCTTCTTCTGGGTCAATGGAGTTGGGGACATGAGATGGAAGGTGACATCCAGTTCCTAACTTTTTCTTTCTGCAGTTCCAGGGGCTGTCCCTCTAGAGTCCATCCAAGGAGGGCCCTTTGAGGAGAAGATCTACATCCAGTGGAAACCTCCCAATGAGACCAACGGGGTCATCACGCTTTATGAGGTAAGGAGGCCCGCTGCTCATACCACTTATTGTGGCTTCGTGCCATTGACTTCAGCCAGAGGTTGGTGAACACCTACTGTGTGCAGAGCTCCGCTGAGGGTATGAAGGTGAGTGAGATACAACTTACCAACACAGTGGGAAGAAAACACAAGGGCATAAGGTTGTGCTGTCTCAATGGCCCCAATAACAAAGAAAATTGGACATACTGTGCATCAAAGTGAGTCTCGATCTCTTCAGCAAAGGCTTCAGGAGAGGCAGGGCATCCTGGTATAACCCAGAAGTCCCAGTCCTGGCAAACGGTAGTTATAATTCATTTAGAAAACCACAATACAAACACGCTGGCCATCCTACCCACGTCAGTCCCTGGGCTTCCAAGAGACTCCCAATGGCATTCCCTCCCCCAGGGGTACATGATTCTTGAGCTTTAACATTGCTCGGTGGCCAAGGCACATTTTATTGTCATCCAGGTGATGGTGTCGCAGGGTTAGCAGGACCGTGTCCTATCAGAGATGGAGCAGAAATGACTCATAAGCCAACACAATGTGGTTTCCTGAATACTTTCAAAATTAGAATGAATTGTATACAAGTCCACTGCAAAACGAAAACAAACACACGAAAGCTTTAAGAAGGCTGATCGAGCTGAATTCTAGTATTGGAATGTGGCCAAGATTGCCTCTGCCCGCACGCCTTGTGGTGTGAGACAGTATAAGACTGTGATGCAGGGCGGGGTGCAAAGGAAAAATGCAGCAACATGGAGGGGCTCCGTGGCAGCCAGCTGAAGGGAAAGATGGAGCCTGGTATCCTAGTAGCTCTATCCTGGTCCTAAGTGACCTTTGGCAGGTTTTTCCTCTCCCCAAGCTTCAGTTCCTCATCTGTAAAATTCGGGGGGGGGGGGGGGGGGCCGCTGCTTCATGGTTCCTCCGGGGAATCTGAGGGGAGAAGGAAAGGGCAAGCATCCCCAGGCTAAAAGGCACAACCGGCCCATGCAAGGACTTGAGGCCTCAGCGCTCATGCAGAAAGGGACATGCACTGAGAGTGTGCTCCAGGAGGAGTATCTCCACCACCAGGGAGGGCGAGCTCTGTGGAGGGGAGCCAAGGAGTACTCGATGAGGGGGACGTGTTCAGGATGAACCTGCTGGTCATGTGCTCTCCAGAGGAGCAGAAGGACTTTAGAGCTCAGGGAAGAGAAAACTATCCAGCAGGTAGAAGGTACTTGAGAAAACGCATTCAGAAAGCGCTTTGTCTCATGAAATGCTGCAGTCCTCAGAAGATGAGCTGTCTGACATCCCCATCGTGGGCCACGTGATGGGGAGAAGCTTCCCTCCTGGGGATGCTGCTGGAGAGGTGGGAGGCCCATATTGAAACACCTTGCCTGGGATGGGTTCAATACCTCATCAGGAAGGAGCGGGGCTGCAAACTCAGCTGGAACAGCGCCCAGCCGTTCCGTCTCCGCATGATGTTCTTTGTAAAGCAGAGGCCAAAATTACACACACACGTGCACACCTGTGAGCTACAGATCTGTTGTGCATAGCAACCCGGTGTTTGTAGAGCAGAGGCAAAGGACCCGGGGCTTAGAGAGTCGAGTTGCTTAGTACTGTTATGTAAATGGCTGTCTGTGCCAGGTGTTCAAGATTTTTGGAATTCACAGGCCACTCACAGTTCCAAAGGTTTGGGGAACCAACTTGGAGTGCTTTGCCATATTTTAGCTTCATTTCATAAAGGACATAATTTCAAAAATACGGAGAGGACATAATTTTAGAGTAGAAGGAAGTCCTTCAAATGGAGTAAGTTTAGATCGTCATGAATAACTCATACCAATCGTCTTATTTTCTCTCATTTTGCTTTAAATGGAGGACAACATTGCCAAGAAAAGGCCTTGATCCTGGTACCCCCTTGCACTTGGGAACCCCTGGTCAAGGCCGTGTTGTAGGTAGAGTCATATGTCTGCACAGCCTACTTCCTCTGATAGAGCTGTGCACCGGGCTGGGCTAGGACACCCTCAACTGCTGTCCCAGGATGAGAAGAAAGAAACAGCAGGAGCAAGAGTGCACACCCACCACTGTGCTGGACACCCTGTTTGAGCAATCACTCCCGAAGGCTTTGCTAGACGGCACGCCCTTGGAGCTCTGGGCACGGAGGTGGGTGCACACTGGGACAGTGCAGCCTGCTTCCCACTTTGACGTGAACCCAGTGCCTGGAGGGTTTTCAAAGGCCGGCTGCTGGGGTTGTTGGCGCCCCCGTGACAGACTCTGCTGGAAACAGCTATAGTGAGACAGGAGGTCTTTGGATACTACAGAGAATCAGATGGCTAAGAACCAGAGCTAGAAGGCTGCAGCTGTCTGGCTGCTTTAAGAGCATTGAGGTTATCTTTGGGGAATGTGCCCACGTGCTTGGATGATGCTGTGAAGGGAGCTAAGGAAGTTATGGGCGTAGGGTCTTGTATGTTGAGCATAAAGGTGACCGTGACCGTGTGTGTCACAAGCTAGTGAAGCCTTGGAAAGTGAGAATGTTGACTTTGAGGTCAGACAGTCTTGTTCTGAATCCCAGCTCCGCCACTTACTTGCTGTGTAACCTTGGGTTTGTCCTGGCACCTTTCATTCGTATTTACATCTAAGTATAAATGCAGGTTTAGTACTGTGTTTGGCATTTAGAAATATTAATAAATGTTAGCTCTTATTATTACATAAAAAGTAGAAAATTGAGACTCGGAGAGGTGAAAAGAAAAGACCAGGGTCACACAGCTGAGATGCAAATCCGTGGGTCCCGAATTCTAGTGCAGGTGGCTTGCCCCGTGGTCGGTGTGGCTCACGGGCCGGTGGCATCAGCAGTACCTGGGAGCTGGTCAGAAGCACGGCGTCTGAGGCCCCGCCAGCCCTCCTGAGTCAGAGCCTCTCCATGTGAGCGGGCTGCCTGGTGATTCGCACGGGCACTGATGCTTGGGAAGCAGCTCTCTAGACCACCCAGCTCTTGAGAAAGTGTAGACAGTGGACGAAAGAGTGTGCCCTCCTGGGCGGGAGGTGGGGAGTGCCCCTCCATGCAGGGCTCCACCCAGTCCTGCTCCAGAAAGTAAGCAGACCTCGCTTTAAATGACATTTATAACAGAGTATATGTTTCTGAGGCAATTTCCAAGTTTAATTAGATGAAACCAACTTGATTTTTAACATTAGGTTCCGGTTGTCATTTTAGAGAGAAATTCCTAAATTACAAATCACCCTCTCTGGCCTCAAAAAATATATATTTTGTGACAAAAAAAAATAGGCTAACACGAATGGAAGAGAAATTCAAAATTGCCTGTACCTTCCTGTGTACAACCTTGAACTCAGCAAAGTCAGACCATAAAGGGGGAGGGGTATAGGCAGGTTATAACCGTCGAATATTGTAACTATGGTTAAGCACTGCAGGTCCAAGTACTATATAATATGTTAAGATTAACTTTTCTTCCCCATGAGTCCAAGCTACAACCTGTGGGTTCGCCCTTGTTTCACCCCCAAAATCTGAGTGGCTTTGACTATATCTCAGTCCATCTCTGGGCTGAGGTTCCTGTCTTTGGAACCTGAAAAGGTCAGATTGTTCCAGGCTCCAACTGGGTGAGAATCAAGAGAAAAATAAGTGTACATCAAACCTACACAATCAGAGGTTTATGCCTCATTTTGGAATTGCTGTGCTGCTAAAACCTTGACTGTGGCCAGAGTCTTCGAAGACAAAGCAGTGATGACACTTGAAGGAAAACAGCTAGTGCAAAGGCCCTGGGGTAGGAATGACTTTGACAGGTTTGACAAATAGAAGGTCAGAGTGACTGAAGCTTTGTGAGCAGGGAGGACCGTGGTAAGACCGTGGCTTGGCAAGGTCTGGTTATGGAGGGCTTCTAGAGTTTGTGCTTTATCCTGAGAGTAATAAAAAGGCCTAGGATTTTAAGCAGAAAAATGAAGGAATCAGATTTATATTCTTAAAAAATCACTTGGCTTTTGTGTGGCTAACTACGCATCTTAGGGACATTTGAAAAATGTGCCAGGAGGCGAGGACATTCCCATCATCTATGATACCGCAGCGAGAGCTCAGGGTTTTACTGGAAGACCTGGTACCCAGCTGGAGATGGGAAAACTTGGTCGCATCTGCCTCCTTCTGTACTTTAGTGGGAGATACAGAATGTTCTGCGATCGCAGAGTGCAGAGTGAGGCCGAGTCAGAGGCCTTGGGTCCACCAACCAGCAGATTGACCTCAGACATGCAGAGTCTCAGGCCCCAGCCCAGACCCACTGAACCCGAGTCCGTTTGAACCAGATCTCCGGATGACTCATGTGCACCTTCAAGTGGGAGAAGCACTAGTCTCAGAGACATGGTAAAGCTCGGCCTGATGAAAACAAGTCTTCAGCTAAATGATGTGGCCTCGGTTGGATGAACTGAGTGGTGTCCCTGCTCCCATGAGGTCCAAAGAGCGAGTGTTTTCACCTGGGAAGTGAAATCGGGCTGTTCCCACAGGCCCGTCCAGAGCCCTGCCTGGGCTTGAATGAGACAGCAGGGTGCCCCAGTCAGGGCGGGTGTGAGAAGATGGTCGGTGTGGCCTCTCCCATTCCGACTGTGCTCTTGTGAATAACACAGCTCACCAGAAATAGACCATCAACGCTGCAGACAGGCACCAGCAGTCCAAATGAGGTCACGGGGGAAACGGTCCAGCCAAACAGTTGTTTAAAAACTCCTCGATAAAATCGTTCACAGGCAAGCTGTTCAGTGTTCGCGAAAAACAGTAATCAATATGTGTCTCAATTCAGTTCATTGTTCTCGTCTCTGTCCCAGAATAAAAATCACGTAGTGTGAGGGAATTGGGCCAGAAGATGTTACACTAGCAACGGGGTTAACGAAGTGTGAAAATATTTAAAATTCAGACATGTGAAGCTTCCCTGTAAGCTTTTCTGTTTAGCAGTCAAAATCACCCGGTTTCTAATTACAGTGTATAAAGCTGAGGCGCTTAAAGGGAATGAGAGGGCCTTAATGAGTCAGGAA